CATGGATGGATCTGATGGGATTGAGTCCATGGACAGAATTGATGGGATTGAGTCCATGGGTGGACTGGATGGGATTGAGTCCATGGATGGACCTGATGGGATTGAGTCCATGGGTGGACTGGATGGGATTGAGTCCATGGGTGGACCTGATGGGATTGAGTCCATGGGTGGACTGGATGGGATCAAGTGGGAGGGCCTGGGAGCTGCCATCTCACAGAATGGAATGTCCTGATTGGAAGGGACCCACAGGGATCACCCAGTCCACAGATGGACCTGATGGGATTGAGTCCATGGATGGACTTGATGGGATTGAGTGGGAGGGCCTGGGAGCTGCCATCTCATAGAATCAATCATGGAATATCCTGATTGGAAGGGACCCACCAGGATCATCCATCTGACCCCCGGCCCTGCACAGACACCCCAACGAGCACAGACACCCCAACGATCCCACCCTGGCCCTCAGGGCATTGTCCAAACCCTCCTGGAGCTCTGGCAACCTTGGGGCTGTGCCCACTGCCCTGGGGAGCCTGGTCAGTGCCCAACCACCCTCTGGGGGAAGAATTTTCCTGATATCCATCCCAACCCTGCCCTGGCACAGCTCCAGCCCTTCCCTGGGTCCTGTCCCTGATCCCACCAGAGCAGGGGTCGGAGCTGCCCCTCCTGAGGAAGCTGCAGCCCCCCGAGGTCTTCCCTTCCTCTCCAGGCTGAGCAGACCAAGCCACCCTCCTCCTCCTCCCAACCTGGGGCAGAACTGGGACCTGCCCCTCTCCTTCTGCCCCCCCCAGGGCAGACCTTGAGCTCGTACTCCTCGCGGGTGTCGATGGTGTCACAGCGAAGGTCCTGCTTCAAGTCCACGTCGTCCTTGAACGACTGCGGGACAGGGGGGAGAATTAAGGGGTCACGGGATGGTTTGGGCTGGAAGGACCTTAAAGATCACCTCGTTCCACCCCCTGCCACGGGCAGGGACACCTCCCATGGGCAGGGACACCTCCCATGGGCGGGGACACCTCCCGCCAGCCCAGGTTGCTCCAAGCCCCGTCCAGCCTGGCTTGGACACTCCCAGGGATCCAGGGGCAGCCACAGCTCCTCTGGGCAACCTGTGCCATGCTCTCCCCACCCTCGCTTCCTCCTCAAATCCCATCTAACCCTCCTCTCCCTCAGTTTGAGCCCATTCCCCCTTTGTCCAAGCTCTTGCCACAAGTCCCTCTCCGCGTTCCTCGTCGGCTCCCTCAGCTCAGAAGGCCGAGCTGGGAGGGATGAACTCAGCCCACGGGGTGTGGGGTGGGCTCTGGGGGGGTGCCCCTCACCGAGTAGATGGCCTTCATGACCCGGGTGGCCGTGGACACGCTGGCCGTGTCCTCCTCCCGGTCCGAGTGCAGCGTCAGCGGCTCCCGGTTCACCGTCTCCACCTTGATGTCCAACTTCCGCAGGGTCACGTCCTTGCGGCCTGGGGGGACACGTGGCACCGGGCATGGAGGTGGCACCGGGCATGGAGGTGGCACCGGGCATGGAGGCGGCCCCGGGGGCCACACCCTCCATGGTGGCACCCCCCTGGTGCCCTCTGATGTGGTTGGGGACCCCCAGGACCCCGCACTCACTTCCTTTGCGGCGCCGGTAGAGGAAGCAGGCGAGCGCCACGAGGAAGGTGACGAGGAGGATGCTGGCGCCGATGGTGGCACCCGCGATGATGCCCACGGGCAGGACCTCTGTGGGAAACGGGGGGGTGTTGTCTGAGGGCGGTGGCACCGCCTGGATGGGAACAGGCCCCGCCAAAGCCGTGCCACACCCCAGAGGCCTCGCGGGGCTCTCCGGCAGTGATTCCGGGGGTCCCGGTGTCTCCCAGTCCCTGGAGCTCCCGATCCCAGCTGGGTTTGGATCCTCCCGGCTCCCAACGTTCCTTGGGAGCGCTCTGGGAATGTGGGGCGGGGCCTGGGTGGGCTCTG